CCAGGGAGAATCACCCCGTGTAGCCTGGGAGACACGCCCAGTGCATCCTGGGAGATGTGGCCCTGTGCCCCCGGGGAGAATCACCCCGTGTAGCCTGGGAGACACACCCAGTGCATCCTGGGAGATGTGGCCCTGTGCCCCCGGGGAGAATCACCCCGTGTAGCCTGGGAGACACGCCCAGTGCCTCCTGGGAGATGTGGCCCTGTGCCCCTGGGGAGAATCACCCCGTGCAGTTGGGAGACATGCCCAGTGCATCCTGGGAGATGTCCCCAGGGAGAATCACCCCATGCAGTTGGGAGACATGCCCGGTGCATCATAGGAGACGTGGCCCTGTGCCCCCGGGGAGAATCACCCATGCGGTTGGGAGACACACCTAGTGAATCCTGGGAGATGTGGCCCTGTGCCCCCCGGGGAGAATCACCCCGTGTAGCCCGGGAGACACTCCCAGTGCAATGAATGCTTTTTTAAGTTAGTACAATTTATTACTTACCAAAAGACGTAGCTTTGTGCTGGCTATGTAATCATTTTTTATGAACAGGGTTCCCCCTGTTCCCTGGGATGCACACACTACAAACCCTGCAGTGTGGACTGTGGCACTCTGAGGGTTAAGTCCCTTCTCTCACCTGGAGGCTGCTTTGTCCTTAGGCGGTTGGCAGTGGACACATGACATGCTGTCTAGAGAGAAGGGCATTTAGTTACATTGCTGGACTCTGGGCTGCCAAAAGGAAGCCCTCTGGGGACCGTCTGTACCTGACAGGCATTAGCAGTTGTGACTGAGACCATGAGAAAGCTTTTGTTCAGAGCTATTGAAGAGTCTCTTATTTTAAACCTGTTGAATGTAGAAAGAGTTGTTTTTTATTTTTTTCCTCTGATAATGACTTTTTCTAAAAGTTTAGGGCAGGGACTGTTTCTATTCCATATACCACCCCCCCTCCCAAGCTTTGTGATCAAGTGCACTGGGGGGTCTGTCTCTTGTTCTCTGGGTCCCTGGATGTCAGAGCTGGAAGCCTGGGGTACCCTTTCACATGGAGGAGTCTGAAGAAGGCCCGAGGGGTCAGGGGGCAGCTCTGGGCCCTGCCCAAGAGCAGCAGAAGTGCCCGCCCACCCTTTCACCCCTGGATCACAACTCACCACCAATCTGGAGATGAATTGGAACCAATTGGCTCATTTTCTGATTTTCTTGTTAAAGAAATCTATCATCTCACTTTCTCTCCCGGGCTGTTTTGCTTTCTGCAATTCACATTCCTTTGCAGTGACCCGTCGCCCTGGCGGTGACTGCACGGTCTCTGTCAGACCCCATCCAGCAGTGTGGCCTTTCTGGGTTGCTGGCAGCCACTTCTTTGCCTGCACTTGCGTGTCAGCGCTGATGTTTGCTGCAGGTGTTATGAAGGAGCCATCAGAGGTTTCCGAGCAGGAGGATGACAGGATAAAGACGTTGGAGGCTGTGCTGAGGACCACGGTGCATACAGGCAGGCGGGGCTCTGCCAGGCAGTGCAGCAGCTCAGCCACACGGGAGGGTGGGGCTGACAGTGAGGCCCATGAGGCCAGGTGGGCTTGAGTCTCTTTTTCTCTGACCTAGCTCTGCAGGAGGGCACAGAGACATCCAGCCCCTTCACGCAGCACGTGGGATGTGTGGGTGCCAGGGGCCACAGGAAGTGCAGCTGGCACCCCCACTCCTCTCTCACGTTGGAGGGAGCCTGGGTGCCAGCGTACAGCACCCCGCCCTCTCACAACTGACCTTTTTCGACGCCTTGAGGCAGAAGTGGCCAGCTGGACCTGTGATTGGACCTACTGGCCTGTCAGTTTTACTAAAAATAAATGTCAATCAAAACGCGGGAGGCCTCTGTGCGGAGGCAGCTGTCTATTAGTGGGATCCAGGTTAGCAACTTGTGCCCTTTTCCTCACGACTGCTCGGCCTTACTAGCCAACAGAAATGGGGCTTTAGAGTGCTGTCTCATTTTGACTTGGGAACAGACGCTGGGCTCGTGGATCAGGGGTCAGGCTCTGGGGATATGACGGTCGTGGCTCCCCCGTGAGCTCAGTGACCTCGGGGGGTGAGCAGCTTAGAGGTAGGGGCTGTGTCCACGCAGAGGCAGGCTTCTCCCTGGGGGGCACCGAGCATTTCTAAGTGTAGTAGTTGTCCTCCTGAAGTAGCCATTGAGGTAATGACTGCTGTCATTCATAGTTGTCTGTTTTGAAATTGATTTTGTCCAGTGGACCGATAAATTGGGACTCAGCAGTTAGCACCTAGAATTCCCTCAGGGTACAGAACTGCTGAGTGGTCCTACCCAGAAGTGTCTGGTTGGCTGTGTCCCCGCTACAGTTTTCGGGACTCTGGCATGGCGGTGATGCTGTGTGTGTTAGTTATGCTCTTCTCCTGCGGGTGGCACAGCCTATTAGTTTTGACATTTGTTCGGTCATGAATGGGCGATCCTATCAGCACAGAAAGTATGAGCAGCACTAGAAAACTAGGAGTAATTTGAGGTAAACTAGAATATTTTCCAGGTAAAACAACTGAAGACCAGTTGTGTTACTGATTTGGCGTCGTTCCAATAGAGAATAGTTTTAAAATCACCGAGTAGAGGGAACTACTTAATCTTCGGCAGCTATGGCCATGCCCTCGTGTCCGGCTGGCATTGCACTCCGCGTTGGGGGTCCTCAGCACACCCAGACGAGGACCGAGGCCTACTCCAGGCGTGAGTGACCTTGGCATCCACGTTGCGGACGCCCTGGAGCAACCGGCCTGTCCCCGTGGAGAGCAGGCGCCCACGAGTCGCTGCTCCTGTGAGCGAGTGTGCATCCCGTGTCTCTCAGCCTGCTTGAAACAGGTATAATTGATAACATGCTGTCTTTGAGCTTGTTGTTTTGGAGTACGTCTATTTTATGTAATTTTTAGTAAAACACATGAACGTTTTATAATCTTATGAAAAATAATTACTATGTGTGTATAAAGAAAAGAATCAAATCCATTTTGTCGTTGCTATTTTTGTAGAATCAAGAAGGCAGAAGGGCTATTTGTGTTCACAGCCCTTCAGTTGTTTCTTGTGATTTTTTTGGTCTAAGATTTTTTTCTAGGTTCACTTTACCAGAAGATAATTTCTGTGATGATAGCTGCATGTGCTAACAATGGATACTTTAGTTTTCTTAAATCCATACCTGGAGTGTCTTTTTCCAGACTGCAGATGACGGCGTCAGCTTTGTTGAAGGAGAGGGTGTGAGGTGCGTGCGGACGTGGAGGGCCTGGCACCTGCTGGTCTCCTTGTCCTGCCTCGATTACCTGGTGCTTTCTGTGATTCTGTTTCTCTCATCTCTGGCTTCTGAGCTGCATCCCTTGTTTTCTTTGTTCGGTGATTGGCCCCCTGCGCTGTCCTGTGCTGGCTGCCATTCTGTGCGTGGGGACTACACGCCCTGGCCACGACCCCACTCCAGCTTTACCCCGGAAACCACGTGGGGCCTGGACTGTGACGCTGCGGAACACGGGAGGCTGTGGCCGTGTGCACTGTGGAAGGGCTCGCTCCCCGTGGCCTCACATGGCCGGCCGGCCCGAGGGGGTATGGGCCGTGTCCTCCTCCGTCCCACTGTCACGTGGTGTCACGGGTCAGAGGCTGATCAGCGGCAGCAGGTTGGCCCTGGTGCCAAGCGCTTGGGACTCGGTCACCCCATCCCATGAGGACAGACGCTCACTCTTCTCATTTCCGTGCTTTGCAAACACCAGGACCCGCTGTTCAGGGAGCCGCACGGCAGCGCCACTGTCTGTTTTGGGTCAGTAAATTGGGACTTTCGCCATGGTCTTTCTTAAAATTCCAATTAGTGTGAATTTTTTAAAATATTAACATTCTATCTTTAAGTTTTACTTTATTTATTTACTTATTTTTTAAACGCCTACAGTGCCCGGTATTCCCAGGCGGTCTCCCATCCAAGTACTAACCAGGCCCGACCCTGCTTAGCTTCCGAGATCAGATGGGATCGGGCTAGTTCAGGGTGGCGTGGCCGTAGACTTTAAGTTTTAAATTGTAAATTTTTCTTAAGCTTTTTTCTGTTACATATTCCACTATAATTAAGAGGCTTTTAAAAATTGGTTTCGTTTATAAAATTAAATTCCCTTATACTTTTTAAACTCTATGCATGAATGTAATACTTTGAAGTAATTTAAAGCAATTTAACTGATGTGTCTCTAATAAGCAAAACCTTCATACTTGAAATACATAAATCTAATAAACTTAACATAAAATGGTAAAACTTTAGCTCCTTTAAACATTCCAGTATTCTCACCACATGTCTTAAAATCCTATAACATCTTTATATAAAAAATCACTTATGTAATATTAGACATTTTCAAATGGGACCAGGCTAATGTTATGTATTTCAAATTACTGTGTACATTACAGATATTTTAGGTTATTAAACACACACATTGCTCCTAAAGTCCACGCAGAAGCACAGAGGTAACCATGGGTTCGATTTCCTTTATCATTTTAGTCTCGATTCTAAAACTCCCCCAGGTGACAGACACCCTCGGAGCGTGTGGGTGGAATGGGCCCCTCCGCTGCCCACCCGCCTCCACTCTGTTCCATCTCCCGTGCTGCACTGGGTAACAGGACTCCAGGGGCTGGTGCCCGCCATACCTGCAGCCCTCTGTCGGGCGTGGCGGCCTGCACTCTGGGTCTCGGGCCCTGTGGTGTCCCCAGCACCGGGGCCGGTCCTGTCCTGTCACTCTTGAGTCTCAGTCTGCACTCTAGTCTCGGGCCCGGCAGGTGTTCCCATGCCATTTGGGAGGGACTTCCATTTCTCCGTGTAATTTTCGAGCAGCTTTAAATGTTTTCACCTGACTTGAGCTGGTGGTCCCCGTTTCTCTTGCAGGCGTGTTCTGTCTGCCGCGGCTGGACTGTGCGTGCCAGTGGTGCCCGCTTCTGTCAGGGCTGCGGTGCCGACAGTCGCGTCACGACAGTAGGTGCTGCTCCTGGGGCCCCGTGCTCACAGCCTGTGTCCCCTCTGCCCAGTTGTCACCGTGATCCTGAGGGCGCTGACCTACGAGGAGAGGCGGGGAGCCTGCAGCGTGGGCGCCAACGTCAGGGACGCCGCCTGCTACGTGTGCTGGGCCTTCGCGCGCGCCTACGAGCCTCAGGAGCTGCAGCCCTTCGTGGCCGACATCGCGAGGTAAAGCCTGCGCATCCCGGAGCGGGGTCCGTCCCCGCAGTCGCCCGGGAGGTGTCCTGGGAGCGTCCATGTGACCCAGGAGCCTGCGCGTGTCCCGAGAGGGTGCGCGTGACCCGGGGGCGTGCACGTGACTCGACAGCGTGCGCGCGTCCTGGGAGCGTGCGCGTGACCCGGGAGCGGGCGCGTGCGCAGTGGCCAGCACCCGCCCCTCCCACATTCGCCGCGGGAGATCGGTGTGCACGCACCAGCGACGCGGTTCCAGGGGTGGTCGGAACGAGGACACAGCGCGGCCTGGCACGTTCAGTGGGGACACCTGGGGGCTTTGGCTGGCGTGAGTCCGGGGGCCTTAGATAAGGGGACTCGGCCTCTTAGGGGGTGTGGAGGGAACACAGGCGGGGACACGTGATTCTGCCTGGTGAGGGGTGCTTCTGATCCCTGCGTGCGTGTCTTACCGAGACACGTTCGGGAACTTGGCTGTCGTGGCTCTCACCGTCACGGAGTTCCTGGGTCGCACGGGGACGCTGGAGGAGGACGCCTTCAGACAGCGGCCACTTCTGTTGAGGACCAGTCTTGGTCTGGCCTCCACTTTTCTAATTTTTATGTCTTAGCACTTGAATGCTCAGCAGTGACATCGACACCTTTGACACAAAACCCAGCGCGCTTGAGAACAGTTCTGTAAGGTGGTAAAGCACACTTTTTCTGGCCTCCTGGCGGGAGGGCAGAGGCCAGCAGAGTGCCGTGCGGACTGCCCAGGCCTGGGCTCTCCTAAGGGTGCGTCGGGCTCCGGGGCTTTTGGCGTGTGCGCCGCTGGAGCCCCCGGAGGTGTCTGCCTGTGCCATCATGCTCCGCTTTTAAGACCCGTTCTTTCCTTGTTTGGAAAAATGCAGAACAAATGTGTTCCAGGTACGGGAATTGTTAGGTTAATTTTTGCACTCCAAATTGGTACTCTGCTTTTGGGCTGAAATAAGTTCCTTTGGCTTGAAAAAAGTCAGGTCTTTATTTCTTATTGTTAAGTATCCAGAGGAGGGGCACTGAGCCCAGTTACAGCCCCAACACTCATGATTTTGACTAGGGAAGGATTTCAAGCCCATGCTCAGGTCGTGAAACTGCCTCTCGCAGCTCTCTGGGAGATGCCACCCTTAGTCTGTGCGTGAAGCCTATAGGCAGCAGGAGACCCCGCAGGTCTTAGACCGGCCATGGGCCCGGCTCTGGCTAGGCTGCACCTCTCCGTCAGCAGACAGCGTGAGGAAGAGGCCGAAAGCCGGGCTCCGTCAGCCTCCGAGCGTGGCTCGGGCCTCGGGGCTGCAGCGCCGTTCAGTTCTTGCTGTGCTCCATCTCGCCAGTCCTGGGTCAACAGGGAACCTCGGGCAATGGACAGCACAGGAAATACCTGGCTTCCATCTGTCCTCTCACCATATCAGAGCAAATCTGCAGAACAGCCTGAGGGTGCTGATAAGTTCCGGGAGCTAATGCATCCCCAGGAATCCGTGAGGATGCGTGCCTCCTGTCCTGTCCTCCCTGGGAGTGGAGGGCAGGCTGAGAGGCCAGTGGTCCTGGAGAACCAGCAAGGCCCGGCGTGCCCGGGCCCCTGTCCCTCACTCGTCCCCAAGGGCCCCTGGCTGATCTGAGGTCAGCAGCATGGGTGAGGGCCAGGCCCTGCCTGTGGGCGTGTCCCCATTCCCCGGGCCCTGTAAACAGGCTGTGTTGGCTGTGTGGCACGGCTGCAGTGAAGGCACGTCCTGCTGCTCTCCTGTGCCCTCCTCGACCTTTCGGAAGGTGCTCCGTAACTAGAGGATGGAGCAGCTCTGTTCTCCGTTGGTGTCGCAGAGTGACAGTTCCTCGATGCCGATACCTGTCTCCTTCAATTTGTGGTGCTGGGCGGGCACTGGGGCGGCCCCGGCTCCACTGAGCGGGAGGCGAGTGGCCCTGTGCGGTGGGCGCTTGCCCGGGGCCCGGGGCCCAGTGCCGACAGGTGCCTCCTTGAGGCGGCCGTGCCGCAGCTGCAGGGGTCCTGATGAGACAGCCCTGACGCGCTTCTCCTTCAGCTTGACGTTCGTCACAGCGGTCTTCCTCTCCTCCCTCCAGGGACTCTGTTTGGAGAAGCTGGGCCAAAGGCTCACGGGTTGGCAGAGGAAGTGGGAACGGAGCGAGGCTTTGCTCTCGGGGCAGGCGGGCCCCTGTCCCCATGTCCCCTGTCATGCACCCTGTTCTCCACTTGGGACAAAGCTTCTCACGGCACCGTGGGTGTGAGCACTAGTCACAGACCTCGTTGCCACCTGTGAGAAGTGATGCTGGCGGATGGTCCCCCGTCAGACGTCCCCAGGCGCATGTGGGATGGAGAGAAGGACTCTTTTTTGTCCAGGGCGCTGGGTTGTTGGGAGGGAGGCTCTTTCAGCCACAGCACATGACAGCATCATCTCGGCGGTGGTTTATAAAGTGAAACATTGACCTGTGAAAAGGCGAGTCAGTACTAAGCTCAGGTCTGGGCAGGTCACATGCCTGAGGACCTGGACAAATGCCTGGTCCTGGTCCGCACGGTGGCCCGACTGAGCTGCAGTGCCACACGAGTTTGCGTGGGCCCTTCTCAGTGTGCAGGAAGGGGACTTGGTTTTCATGGTGGCTGAAGGCCCTGGCACATGTTACCCAGGGTCATCCTCCATCATTCAGAAGAGGGGAGACAGGTTTGGGGCCCAGCCAGCTGGTCCATCACAGCGACAGGGCCCTGGCCACGAGGGTCGCTCTCTGGAGTATGGTGTCTGCAGGGCACAGTGACTGCTCTGTGTGGGCAGTTAGCGTTGGTCCACCACGTCAAATGACAGTGACTTCGCACATCTGCTTGTAGCTGAGAGAGTGGCACCATGCCCGTCTGTGGGAGTCCCGTGGACCCTGCAGGGAACTTCTGAGTGAAACTCCACCGCCCCACGGTGTCAGGACCGTGACGGGGAGGTGGGGGTGGAAGTGGGTGTTCAGATTACTCGACCCTCTGAGCTGGGAGGCGTTCTGAGAGCTTTGCTAACTAAACACGAGGGCCGGAGAGCACCCACTGTGGTGGGGTGGCTAGCGTCCGCTGCAGACGTGCCTGGGGCAGGGTGCCCTCATGGGCCTCCTGGGTGTGCCCGTGGGTGCTACTGAGCTTATGCAGAGCCACACCTGGGGGCCTGCCTTCCTGGCGTCTCCTACCCAACCCAGAGGTAGTAGCCTCGCTGAGTTTCTGCTTGGAAAGGTCCCCTTGTCCCCTTCCTTGCGCCTGCCCCGGACTTGATTGGCATGTGCCCTTTGCAGCCGCGCCCGGCAGGTTTCCAGGCCAGTCGGGCAGGTTCCGAGGGAAACTGTGCCAGCCCTTCCTGGTCCATCTGGGCTGCAGGCACTGGGGGGTGGAGAGGCGGCTGGAAGGTGAGTCACTGTGCCAGGTGAGCCTGGAGGACGCTGCTGGCCCGCACCTCCCCGCCCGGGAGTATCGGTCGGGTGTGTCCTTCAAGATCTGCTTCCTTGGTTTGTAGTAAGTGACCACATTTTAATTGTCAGCTTTTAAGCCCATTAATCCTGGCACACGATAAAATCTTGGTATCTTTAAGTATACTTTCACAAACTCTCCCATGGATCCTGCAGAAGTCAATAGTGAAGATCAAAACGTGGTTTTGCAGATGAAGCAGACAGGTGTGACAGAAAGCCTGGGCGGTGGTGGTCACGGGGCAGGACCGGCCCCAGCAGGCCACCCACACAGGGCCAGAGGTCAGGGGCCGTGTGGGCGGGGTGGGGCTCAGCTACCCGCTTCCTGTGAAGGGGCTTGGAGACCCTCTGTTGTACAAACGTCGAAAAGGAAAGCTTCAGACACAATCATGTTTTCAGTTAGTGGTGGTCGGCTTTGAAAGCCTGTTCCCTCAGCACTGTGTGCAGACAAAGAAACGCAATGCTTTCTTTGTGGAAAAGCCAGGCAGCCTCAGGAAAGGAACAGTGAGGCACAGAGGGCGGAGACGGCGCAGAAGGCTGGGCCGCACCTAAAACACTCCCCGGCAACCACACCGCTAATTTGCAAGGAGGAAAGAGATGAGCCCTGTTGCCAGCGAGTGTGCCTCGGCCATCGCCTTCGGGTGATTTCTTCACCTGAAACTCTCTTGTCAGCTGAGTGGCTGTTGACATCAGGCTGCAGGCCCCGCCCGCCCCAGCCGTAGCCCGGGGACTGGCTCCCCGATGTCTTCCTCCAGGGCAAGGTTGGCCTCAAAAACTGGGAATGGCAAGCTTGGCTCAGAGCTACATCTTGTCCTCACCAGACTTTTTTCAGGCTTCCGGGGGAGGGTAGTCCTTTTTGTGCTTCGAGATTGCTGACCAGTGTCCCCTACTGCCCACCTGGTGACTCTCCATCCAGCCTCCACGCTAGCTCCGCTGTGACTTAAAAGTGCTTCGAGTCGCCTGGTGTTTTACGGCTGTGCTGATGGGAGCGGATGCCACTCTACGCGACCTCAGCCGTGCAAAGCCCTGGCATTTCACTGGAAAAACCATGGGATTTGCAGCTTTCCACCATCGTGGGTGGATAACAAGTTATTTATTAGCTTGATGTTTAAAAAATTTTTTGATTTTTAAATGATAGAGTTATTATTACTTAAGGTAAAA